CTACTGGGTTCAGGCAATTCTCCTGCCTCAGCCTCCTGAGTAGCTGGGATTACAGGCACGTGCCACCATACCCAGCTGATTTTTTGTATTTTTAGTAGAGACGGGGTTTCACCATGTTGACCAGGATGGTCTCGATCTCTTGACCTCGTGATCCACCCGCCTCGGCCTCCCAAAGTGCTGGGATTACAGGCTTGAGCCACCGCGCCCGGCCAATTTTTTTTTTTGGAAGAGGAGTCCCGTTATATTGCCCAGACTGTTCCTGAACTCCTGGCTTCAAGTGATCCCCTCCTGCCTTGGCCTCCCAAAGTGCTGGGATTACAGGTGCAAGTCACCACATGCCTGGCCACGAAAAGTTTTTATTAAAATATAAAATGTCGACTGGGCATGGTTGCTCAGGCCTGTAATCCCAGCACTTTGGGAGGCCAAGGTGGGTGAATTATAAGGTAAGGAGTTCGAGAGCAGCCTGACCAACATGGTGAAACCCCGTCTCTATTAAAAATGCAAAAATTACCTGGGCATGGTGGCATGTGCCAGTAATCCCAGCTACTCAGGAAGTTGGGGCAGGAGAATCGCTTGAACCTTAGAGGCGGAGGATGCAGTAAGATCATGCCATTGCACTCCAGTCTGGGCGACAGAGCAAGACTCCGGCTCAAAAATGTGTGTGTGTGCGTGTGTGTGTGAAAATGTATAATACCGCCTGAAAACAATAAACATGAATATCTAGTGGCCTGCATGGAGATGATAGACTTACCCTGACAATGAAGAGTTCAGTACCAAGCTGTGCAGTTTGTTCTGTAGAAAGCTACAAGCAAGTAAAAAACAAATTCAATGTCCAAGAACTCACTAATGTGAGTTTAATACCATTCACTGTATCTGACTCCAAAGGTCGGACTAAAATCAATCCCTGATCAACTTGGAATTCTGCTTTATCTCTATCTATCTCTATCTATCTATCTATCTATCTATCTATCTATCTATCTATCTATCTATCTATCTATCTATTTATTTTGTGAGACAGGGTCTCGCTCTGTCACCCAGGCTAGAGTGCAATGATGTGATCAATCACAGTTCACTGCAGCCTCCATCTCCCGGGCATAAGAATTCTCCCACCTCAGCTGCCTGAGTAGTTGGGTCTACAGGTGCTTGCCACTAAACCCAGTTAATTTTTCTATGTTTTGTGGAGACAGGGTCTACCTATGTTGCCCAGGCTGGTCTCAAACTCATGGCTTCAAGCAATCTGCCTGCCTCAGCCTCCCAAAGTGCTGGGATTACAGACATGAGTCAATGTGCCCAGCCAAATTCTGCAATATTCAATGTAGCTTGAATAAGCAGGCTGGCAGAGAGATTTACTAATCTTTCTGGCATACAGATTTCAGGGGGAAACATTAAATGTAATGATAAACAGCTGCCTACAGAAAATTATTCAGCAACAGTTCAGGTACCTTGGCAGCCAGGATGGAAATGATAGCAACTGCCATCCTTTGCATGTTTTGATCCTCATGGTTGCAGAGCCATTGCATGACAAGCTTGGCTGCTTCAAACCTGAAAACGCAAAAAGGGTTTCATGAATTAATCGTGGAGGCCCAGGCACAGTTTCAGAGTTCCAGCTAGGAACTGATGCTACAACTTAAATATGTGAAAAGGCAAGGGAAAATTCCTCTTTACTGGTAGAGAGTAACAATTACACTTAGTGTTTTAGAGATGATGCCATATTATTAATTCTGACAACATTTTGTAAAGAAAGAAGGGTTTGGAAAATAAGATTCCAACTATCTGGCATTTCATTTTCTAGAATTATAACATATTTCTATTCTGTATTTCTAAATTGTAGGTTTTTCTATATCAAGTTGTGATTTAAATATTTTCTGGGTTACTCGTAGCACCTAGCACAACAGAAACATTCATTCATTCATTCACAAACATATATTAAACTCTTGCTTTGTGCCAGATATTGTTCTTAGTGCTGGAGATAGAGTAGTGAACAAAACAGAAAAATTCTGCTACTTTCCTAGAGCTTACATTCTAGTGAGGACGACAGGTAATAAATCAGATAAATAAGTAAAATAGATAGTATGATTAGGTACTGACATACGCTATAGAGAAAAAAAAAATGAAGCAGGAAAAGAGGATCTGAAATTTTATGTAGGGTGGCTATGGAAGGCCTCGTTGAAACTTTTGAGGAAGTAAGAGAGATAGCCATATGGATATTTAGGGGATAAGAATTCCAGGCAGAGAGGAGGGGAAATATAATAGCCCTGAAATGGGTATGTGCCTAAGAAGTTTCAACAAATAGCATGGAGGCCAGTGAGGTCAGAGCAGAGAGAACAAGGGAAGAGTTCTGAGAGAAAGTGAGAGGTAAGAGAGGCACCAGATCACATACAGTCTAGTGTATTGTCCATTCTTCCACTGCAATAAACAACTACCTGAGACTGGGCAATTTATAAAGAAAAGAGGTTTAATTGGCTTATGGTTCCACAGGCTGTAAGGAAGCACAGCTAGGAAGGCCTCAGGAAACTTGCAATCATGGTGGAAGGTGAAGAGGTGGCTGGCACATCCTACATTGGAAGGAAGAGCAAAGCTGGATGTGCTACACACTTTCGAATGACCAGATATTGTGAGAACTCTATCACAAGACAGCACTTGGGGGATGGTGCTAAACCATTAGAAAATACCTCTATGATCCAATCACTTCCCACCAGGCCCCACCTCCAGCACTGGTGATTACAATTCAATATGAGATTTAGGTGGGGACACAGAGCCAAAACATATCAGTAAAGAATAAGCTTTTACTATGAACGAGAGGGAAAGCAATGGAAGGCTTCTGAGCTATATGACATGAGCAGGACTACTCTATCAGCTGTGTTTAGAATAAACTCCAGGAGGGCACAGACAGAAGCAGGAGGGCAAGGACTGAACCAGGAGAGCAGTTCTGAGGCTACTGCAGTAATTCAGGAAAGAAATCACTTTTAGTCTATTCCAAGCGGTAGAAATGGAAGTGAAGAAATCCAGAAATGGTTGAATTCTAGATACATTTTGAAGACAAAGCTGGATTTTCCAAAGAACTCAATGTGGGATACAGAAGAAAAATCAAGATGAGGTTAAGGAATATATATATATCTTACCCATGGTCTCATCCTTAAGACTCAGATCAAATATCACTGCCTTTGAGAAGGTTTCTTTGATGAGTTGATCACTGCCTTCTTAGCTCCTGAGTACTTTAGGTATAGCTGTCAGAGATCCACAGTCATCTGTAGACTCACTTGAATCCCTATGTGGCCTGTGGCTCCTTGAGGGTGGGGACTACATATCCTATTGGCCCTGTATGCCACACACTCAATACAGTAATCGAAACATAAATAGTGTTTAACATATGTTGACTAAATGATTATTTTTAGGTAGATTACTACTCTGCAACTTCACTTAAATTTACTATTACCTTCTTTCTGTTCCCAAGGCCATTTCTGATTAGGCCCATTACTTGTATTCTTCTACAATAAATTCCTAATTGGCTTCTGTGTTTCCACTGGTTTCTCATCAATGTGTGCCTGCACATTAGAAATAAATAAACCTGTCCAAGGACTTAGGTATGATGTCACTCCCATACTCACAGCATTCTAGGACTTTAGCGTGGGGCTATATCAAGCTTTTTTCTTGCCTACCCTATGCTTGCTGCAAAGTGGATTGTTCATTAGTCTTCACACATGCCCACAAGTATGAGGTAACACAGCCTAGTAGTAAAGTGTACAGATTCTCAAGTCAATTCTGGGTTTGAATTCTAGTTCTACTTAATGTTAACAATAAAATGAATTAATTTTATCATGTGAGGCAATGTAATCAAGTTGTTAAGAACATTATACACTTTGGAGTCAGCCTGGATTCAAATATCAGCTCCACCACTTATTAACCTTTTTTTCTTTTTGATACGGAGTTTCGCTCTTGTTGCCAAGGCTGGAGTGCAGTGGCACTGTCCTGGCTCCCTGCAATCTCTGCCTCTTGGGTTCAAGTGATTCTCCTGCCTCAGCCTTCCTAGTAGCTGGGAGCCTGCCACCATACCGGGCTAATTTTTTGTATTTTTAGTAGAGACAGCATTTCACTATGTTGGCCAGGCTGCTCTGAAACTCCTGACCTCAGGTGACCCACCCACCTCAGTCTCCCAAAGTGTTGGGATTACAGGCGTGAGCTACTGTGCCCAGCCTAACTTTGGAACTCTGAGCAAATTCCTGAATCTCTCTGAACTTCAATATTCCTATCTGTAAAACAGTAACAAAAACCTATTCCAGGCCAGGCATGTTGGCTCACACCTGCAATCATGGCACTCTGGGAGGCTGAGGCGGGCAGATCACCTGAGGTTAGAAGTTCGAGACTAGCCTGGTCAACATGGTGAAACCCTGCCCTACTAAAAATACAAAATTTGCCTTGTGTAGTGGTGCACACCTGTAGTCGCAGCTACGCAGGAGGCTGAGGCAGGAGAACTGCTTGAACCCAGGAGGCAGAGGCTGCAGTGAGCCGAGATCGTGCTATTGCACTCTAGCCTGGGCAACAAGAGCGAAACTCTTGTCTCAAAAAAATAAAAATAAAAAAATAAAATAAAAACTATTCCATAGGGTTGTCATGAGGATTAAATGATATTACATAGAAGCTTAAGACTTAGTACACAAAATAAGTTCTTTATAAAGGTTAATTTTTACTAACATAATTGACTTTCTCTGTGTCTTTATTCATGCAGTTCCAACAACATAAAACAATTCAACCAGCTCTCATCTTCAAAGCAACATAGCACGGATGAAAAAATGGAGGATCTGGAGTCAGAATGAATTTAAATCTAGACTCTGCTACTTACTATCTTATTACCTTGGGCAAGTTACTAATCCTTTCTGTGTCTCTATTTCCTCATCTGTAAAATGAAGATCATAAGAGTAACAATTTCACAGGATTGTTCTGAGGACTGAATAAACACACATAAAACACTTTAGCACAATGCCTGCCTTGCAATAGTAAGTGCTTCATATATGTTAGTTTTTACCATTTGTATCTCAAGTGCCATTAACTAACATGAAATCCTTAACGATCATCAGTAAGATAGAATCTTTCCTTCCTTGTGTGGGGGCCCAATGCATTTCATTAACACCTCTTCTATGAAAACTTTTGTTTCGACCAGGCACAGTGGCTCACACCACTTTGGGAGTGATTCCAGCACTTTGGGAGGCGGAGACGGGTGGATCACCTGAGGTCAGGCGTTCGAGAGCGGCCTAGTCAACATGGTGAAACCCCGTCTCTACTAAAAATACAGAAATTGGCTGGGCATGATGATGGGCACCTATAATCCCAGCTACTCAGGAGGCTGAGGCAGGAGAATATCTTGAAAGCAGAAGGCGGAGGTTGCAGTGAGCCAAGATTGTGCCACTGCACTCCAGCCTCAGTGAAAGAGCAAAACTTGGTCTCAAAAAAAAAGAAAAATTCTGTCTCATGTAATACTCATTTATTCATCCATCCATCCATAAATCCATTAAATATCCACTCAAGCACAAGAGACAAAGAGATGAACCAATCATAACCTCTGACCACAAAGAAGGTCAATTCTTGCAGAGAACATTGGCTAGATGAGAGGCAGGCAAACTTGATAGCTTGTGGATCTGGCTGCCTGCTTTGTAAAATTCTGTTGGAACACAGTCACACCCATTTGCTTCTATATTAGCTATGGCTGCTTTTGAGGTACAACGGCAGAATTAAATAGTTGCAACAGAGACTCTATGGCCCATAAGCCTAGAGCATTTATAATCTAGCCCTTAACGAAAACGTTAAAGGGTAGAATATAATCTTTAGGAGAGTGACTGTCTTTCCTACTTTAGACTTTGTTACAACGATCAGTACAGAGGCTCAATATTTCCAAAATAAAATTAGCAATCTACATGAGACATATGTAGTTATATTTTTATCCAAATTGCTTATTTCAAATAAAAAATGGAACACCGCTTTCCTTAGCCATGCCAGGTAAGTGTTCTCTGTCACTCAAATAAAAGTCAATTACAGTAAAATTGCTGCTTACAGGCCAGGAGCAGTGGCTCATGCCTGTAATTCCAGCACTTTGGGAGCCCAAGGTGGATCACCTGAGGTCAGGAGTTCAAGACCAGCCTGGTCAACATAATGAAACCCCGCCTCTACTAAAAATACAAAAAATTAGCTGGGCGTGATGGCGCATGCCTGTAATTCCAGCTATTTGGGAGGCTAAGGCAGGAGAATTGCTTGAACCTGGGAGGTGGAGGTTGCAGTGAGCCAAGATCATGCCATTCCACTCCAGCCTGGGCAACAAGAGTGAAACTCCATCTCAAAAAAAAAAAAAAATTGCTGCTTGAGAAACATACTTTTCATTAAATAATGAAGTATAAAGTTCCTTTTCAAAATGTTATCATTAAAAAATGGTATTTTACTACTGGGCATGGTGTCTCACGCCTGCAGTCCCAGCATATTGGGAGGCCGAGGAGGGTGGAAAACTTGAGGTCAGGAGTTTGAGACCAGCCTGGTCAACACGGTGAAACCTTGTCTGTACCAAAAAATATAAAAATTAGCCCAGCGTGGTGGCATACACCTGTAGTCCTAGCTACTTAGGTGGCTGAGGTAGGAGAACCCAAGAGGAGGAGGTTTGCAGTGAGCTAAGATTGTGGCACTCCACTCCAGCCTGGGTGACAGAGACCCTGTCTCAAAAAAAGAAAAATAAAAGTTATATTTTAAAATAATAAAATGAAAAAAAAAAAAACCAACTTTTTTTGTTGTTGTTGTTGAGACAGAATCTCGCTTTGATGCCAGGGATGGAGTGCAGTGGCATGATCTTGGCTAACTGCAACCTCTCTTGGGCTCAGAATTGCTCAAGCAATTCTCCTGCCTCAGTCTCCCAAGTAGCTGGGATTATAGGCGCCTGCCACTATGCCCAGCTAATTTTTCGTATTTTTAGTAGAGACAGGGTTTCACCATGTTGGCCAGGCTGGTCTCAAACTCCTGACCTTGTGATTCACCCACCTTGGCCTCCCAAAGTGCTGGGATTACAGGTGTGAGCCACCTCACCCAGCCAAAAAAAAAAAACTATTTTAAGCTCCAAAAGTACATCTTAAAAAACAAAGGTCCCCTTTATATTTAATGGACTCTAGCTCTATGGCCTCCTTTAATCTCTCCTTCAAAAGTTTCTAGCATAATTCAATACCAAATAGTGATAACAATAAGAGACACATTACAGAAAAAAGAACACTGGACCTCTTTTTGTTTTTTTTTTTTGAGATAGGGTCTTGCCCTGTTGCCCAGGCTGGAGTGCAATGCCACGATCTTGGCTCATTGCAACCTTTGCCTCCTGGGTTTAAGTGATTCTCCTGCCTCAGCCTCTCAAGTAGCTGGGATTACAGGCATGTGCCACCATGCCCAGCTCATTTTTTGTATCTTTAGTAGAGACGGGGTTTCACAATGTTGGCCAGGCTGCTCTCGAACTCCTGACCTCGTGATCCACCTGCCTAGGCCTCCCAAAGTGCTGGGATTATGGGCGTGAGCCACTGCGCCCGGCCAAACCTGCATCTTTCTAATCTTGCAGTTATTAGTCACAAAGCCATAGTCAAAACAATGAATCTCTACATATGCCTCAGATTTTTTAATCTTTTGAATGGGGATAATAATGTTCATAGCCTACAATATTATGTGGACATCTTGAACCATAACCAACATAAATTCCTAAGCAAAGGACTATGAAAACACAGGTCAATTTGCTATCATGAATGCCAAAGCACCAAATTAAAGAAAGTATATTTAGTATTCTAGAAAATAACCCACAATTCTATCTACTCAATTAATCTTATAAAAGGGATATCCTAAATGGTAAGAAATTACCCAAGATAGATTTCTAACATTCTGTTTTGCCCCACTTTAAGTTCTAGAGCTATTACTTGCCTGTTAAATGGAACATCTTGGAGGATCCGGTCACTGCAAAGTGAAAGGAGGCAATTCTTCTGTAACTAAAGAATCAAAGGGAGAGAAAAAAAATCCTAAATAAAATATCACTTTGTTATCTTTTAACCAAGGTATAGCTTCTATATGAAAAAAAAAGAAAACCAATAAAACGCCAGTTACTTCTTACAACCTTTATCTGCACCCTACTACTGAAAAGCTGACTTCCAGTAGACCCATGCAAGGTTACTTGTACCTTTTTTTGTCTTTTCCATTAGATGAGAAATAGGGTAATAAACAGGATAATTACAACCAATCTCCTTCTTTCTGGTGGCCTATGAAGTAACCTTGCCTTCTGTATTTTTTGAGATGGAGAGAATGACAAAAAGCAATGGCTCAAAGTTTTACTTGTTGGCATAGCATAAAAGCGAACCTGCTTGGAAGACAGTCTGACTCTAACATAGAGTACGCGGGGTTAGTGTTCTACACAATGGCCTCTAAAGAGTGACTGATAGACTTGGCTGTATCTTTTCAATAAAGTTGAGACTAGTACAATTAAACAATAGTAAATAAAAATGAATAATTCACTGACAGAGTCAAGGTGCACCATCATAACAGAAAGGTGATTCAAGTTATTCCCGTGAAGCAAAATAAGAAAGTAAGTGTGGGCTTAAAAAAACTCATAGTGTCTAATAATTTTTTTTTATTTGGACAAATGGCTTTAATATTTTTTAAGGTTTTGGTGTACAATTGGAAGATTTCTTATCTAAATAAGACTTAATATAAGGGAATTCAATCATAGAAGGCAAAACTCAGATTAATGGGATATATACAGCTAGTCAAGAAATAGAAAAACACATAAAATGAACACCCTATTTGCTTCCTGGAAGATGTAGAAAAATTACATAATAGAAGAAATGGCAGAAAAAAGGCAACGTGGTGGCCGGGCGCGGTGGCTCAAGCCTGTAATCCCAGCACTTTGGGAGGCCGAGGCGGGTGGATCACGAGGTCAAGAGATCGAGACCATCCTGGTCAACATGGTGAAACCCCGTCTCTACTAAAAATACAAAAAATTAGCTGGGCATGGTGGTGCGTGCCTGTAATCCCAGCTACTCAGGAGGCTGAGGCAGGAGAATTGCCTGAACCCGGGAGGCGGAGGTTGCGGTGAGCCAAGATCGCGCCATTGCACTCCAGCCTGGGTAACATGCGTGAAACTCCGTCTCAAAAAAAAAAAAAAAAAAAAAGGCAACGTGGTACTAAATCCCAGGGGAATTATACAGAATGGGTTAGGTGCAATGGTAATTAATTAAGAGGGTTTCTTAGGAAGTTTTATATTCATTGCAGGTGGTCAAGGTGCTAGGACAGATTCTGCCTGAGGATCTATTTAACTCCCCTAAAATTTAAATCATAACCTGGCAGATTGATTAGTGGCACAACTTTCTTCCATCACCATTTTTCTCCTCCCAAATAAACCCAATAATTTGTACAGGATCCATAGAAGTAAGAAAGGCAATAATGCTATTCTAACTGCCCCTGCTTAGAAAGACCATTCCTCCTGTTCCTTTACCTGGAAAACTCCTAATTTTCCTTCACAATTCAACTCAGGGCAGAGGTATGACCTCATTGAGGAAGATGTCTTAATTTTTTGGGGGGGTGTTTTGTTGTTTTTGAGATGGGGTCTTGCTCTGTCACCAGGCTGGAATGCAGCGGCACAATCATAGCTCACTGCAGCCTCAAACTCCTGGGCTCAAGTGATCCTCCTGCTTCAGCCTCGAAAAGTGTTGGGATTAAACGGAAGCCACAGTGCACAGCCCCTAATTTTCAAATTGTCCTAAGTGCTCCTCCTGGGCTCCCAATAGCACTTGTTTCTCTTAGTACTTACCACACTGTGCTACATTATGTGTTCCTGTATCTGAATGCTTAGAACTTAGCACAAGTGGACCCGGCGTGGTGGCTCACGCCTGTAAGCCCAGCACTTTGGGAGGCCGAGGTGGGTGGATCACGAGGTCAAGAGATCGAGACTATCCTGGTCAACATGGTGAAACCCCGTCTCTACTAAAAATACAAAAATTAGCTGGGCATGGTAGCGTATGCCTGTAATCCCAGCTGCTCAGTAGGCTGAGGCAGGAGAATCGCTTGAACCCAGGAGACAGAGGTTGCAGTGAGCTGAGATCACGCCACTGCACTCCAGCCTGGCGACAGAGTGACACTCCATCTCAAAAACAAACAAACAAACAAAAAAAAGAACTTAGCACAGGTGCACATAGTCTGAATTCAATAAAGAGCTGCTAAGCTTAATTTAACTAATGACTAAATGAATAACAGAAGATAAATTTCGTTGAATCTAAGCCTTACTGCATCTGAAAAGCACCACAGGCAAAAACTGAAAAGAGGAAGACTTTCACTGTAGTCTTCAATTTCTGCCCAGCTAGAGTTTTGATTTTGGGGGCTACAGCCTGAACTATGCAATTATTCAAGAGTTTTAATTTTTTTTTTTTTTTTTTTTTTTTTTAGAAATTCAATGTGGAATCAAGAATTTCCTATGCTGGCATTCATCAAATCTGGCCCTAATCTGGATATCACTGGCTTCATCCTACACTGCCCTTCCTACACTCCAGTCACATGCAACTTGCCCTTCCAGGAATGCCTGCACATTCACATATAGGTCCACTGATTTTCTGCTGTTCTCCATGTGAAATCTCATTCATTTTTCAAGATCTGATTCAATGTCACTTCCCGTTTGAAATCCTGCCTGGTACCTTTGTCCACACAAAAATCCAGCTGGCAGAATTAATCATGCTCAAGTTTCTGTAGCACTTAATCAAAATGGCTGAAGATAATTAGATAATAGCTTACAGTATTTGCATTTCCAACTAATTGGTGAGTTCCCAGGGTTTTTATTTTTTAAATTGAGTTGCTTTTAAATGTTTTTTTATTATTTGTAGAGACAGGGTCTCACTGTATTGCTCAGGTTAGGCATGAGCCATCACGCCTAGCCTATTGTGAACATTGTTTTTAAAAATATATAACAGCTTTATTGAGATACAGTTCATGTGCCATACAATTCACCTATTTAAAGTGCACAATTTGAAGGATTTTAGTATACTGTTGTGTATATATGTTGTGCAACCATCACAATTTCATCATCCCAAACATATTCATCACCTCAGAAGGAAACCCTATACCTATTACAGTGACTTCCCATTTCTCCCACCCCGTTTCCTAATCTTATTTATTTTATATGCAACCTTTCTCATTTTTCCCTGATCAATTTTGCCAATGAGTTTTCAATACTATTAAATATGTTCAAAGAACCAATTCTTGGAATTACTGATCCTCTCTAAAATAATGGTATATTTTTAATTTTAATTTTTACTTTCATCTTTGTTATTCCTTCCTTCTTTGGGTTTATTCTTTTGTTGTTTCTCTAACATAGGCAGATTTATTTATAGCTCCCTTTTTAGCAGGAAAGTATCCTTTTTGGGAGGGAGTCATAGGAGTCTTCTGTCTGATGGGCTTCCAGAGGCCATGAAAATCAAAGCCTAAATTTCAGCTAGTTTGGCAACTGCACTCAATGAGGGAAGCTGGCTTTAATGATCCACTCAACAATGTGGTTTGCCATTTTTACTTGGTTTTGGGCCTCTGAGTATTTTTTTACTAACTTGCCAACTCAATGGTCAATTTCAAATGACCTAAAAAAAATTTAAGCAACATTTTTAGTATTCATCCTGAGTATAAGACAGTTGACATTGTCTACCATATAGCTAGAAAGGGAAAAGACATGTCTTACTCATCTCTGTACCCCAGCATTTGATACTGCCTAGCCCATAATAGATCCTCTGTGCATATCTGCTGAAATGATCACAAACTCAAGATCTAGGAGGAAGATGAGTTTTGTATGGCTTGTACTATGTCCCCCAATATATGGATTGAAGTGGTTTTAGGCAGGGAATGTACTCTTTAGGTGTCCACTTCTCTGTTTTACTACACTTAGTCCAATGGCATTTAAATTTCCAGCCTTGGACTATTAAACTGAAGTGCAGAAGAGGAGTAGAAGACACTAGAAGGACTATTTGAAAAGGAATTCACATAAGCTTACCTGCTGGTGATTGGGAAAATGTTCCATGGCTTTGAGCAGTAAATGGGTCACATCAGCCAGGAGTCGGACAGGCATTCCGGCAGCAAGATCCTGCTTGGTTAAGTTAAATACACAGGCGCTTGCAGCCAGCTGCACTGGCAAATTCATAGGGTGGTTTCTCATCCCAGTAACCACAAGCTGGGAAAAAAAATTAGTCCTCTTAATTCACTTTATAAATACAAGCCCTCTTCACAGAGCAGGATTATTTTGTTGATCTATACTAATTTCAAAGATGTCATAAAGTTTCTTTTTCATCCTCATGCGCAAAGAGCCTAGGACATAGCAGTTATTCACAAATAGTTCCAGTCTACCTCATCAAGGCAGGTATCCCATTATTCATATCTAGAGGTTTTCTGAAAGCTAATGAATCTTTTCAACATGGGTCACTCATCTTTGTATTTCCAAGACCTACTGTGGTGCCTGTTACATGCACAGAAGTGAATAAATTCTCACTGACTTGAATAGAGCACACTTCACTCTGAAATCTCAATCTTCAGTTCCTTGAGAACACTGCTGAGGTTAGAGTGCAATAAAATCCATTCACCTCCCCTGGCCTAGAAGAAACTATTTTTCACTTTTCCAATCTTCTCAAACCTCCAATGAATCCTTCCCATTCTTCTATCAATTGAAGATCTTGCTTTCAACTATACTAAGAAAACTGCCAGCCTGGGCAACATGATGAAACCCCATCTCTATAAAACAATAGAAAAATTAGCTGGGGGCCAGGCGCAGTGGCTCACGCCTATAATCCCAGCACTTTGGGAGGCCAAGGCAGGTGGATCACCCAAGGTCAGGAGTTTGAGACCAGCCTGGCAAACATGGTGAAACTCTATCTCTACTAAAAATACAGAAATCAGCTGGGTGTGGTGGCACGTGCCTGTAATCCCAGATACTTGGGAGACTGAAGCAGGAGAATGGCTTGAACCCAGGAGGCAGAGGTTCCAGTGAGTCAAGATAGTGCCATTGCACTAGAGCCTGAGAGACAAGAAGTGAAACTCCATCTCAAAAAATTAATAAATAAAATTAGCTGGGTATAGTAGTGCACTCCTATAGTCCCATCTACTCGAGACGCTGAGGTGGGAGAATCACCTGAGCCCTGGGAGGCAGGGGCTGTAGTGAGCCATGGTCATACTACTGCACTTCAGCCTGAGGGACAGAGTGAGACCCTGCCTCCAAGGGTGAAAAAAAAAAAAGAAAGAAAACTAAAGCAACCAGAAAACAACTTCAGATTCTTACTACTACATGTATCCCACTTACCAGCATACATACATATACATGTCACCTTCCTGCCTGCTATCATAAGTGATCTTTTGGGGGTCCTTTGTAAAACTAATCCTTCCACGTATATGTGAGATCATTCTTTTCTACTGAAGCTGTTTACCCCTCCTACTCCTACATCAATTTTTTATTCTGTCTTGGATCATTCATATCAGGATACAAACAAGCTGTATTTTTCCTATTAAAAAAAAATCAGGCCGAGCATGGTGGCTCATGCCTGTAATCCCAGCACTTTGGGAGGCCAAGGCGGGCGGATCACGAGGTCAAGAGATTGAGACCATCCTGGTCAATATGGTGAAACCCTGCCTTTACTATACAAAAATAAGCTGGGCATGGTGGTGCATGCCTGTAATCCCAGCTATTTGGGAGGCTGAGGCAGGAGAATCGCTTGAACCAGGGAGTCAGAGGTTGCAACCGAGATCACAACATTGCACTTCAGCCTGGCAACAAAGGGAGAAGCCATCTCAATTTGAAAAAATTAAAAAGTCAAAACATCTGTCTTTTAATCTCGTGTCCTCAAACAATGGCAATCTTTCTTCTTTGCTTGCCTTTGCAAAAAAATTCTCTATAAGAATTGCCTTGGCCAGGCATGGTGGCTCACGGCTGTAATCCCAGCACTTTGGGATGCCAAGGCAGGTGGATCACTTGAGGTCAGGAGTTCAAGACGAGCCTGGCCAACATGGTGAAACCCCCATCTAAGCCGGGTGCAGTGGCTCACGCCTGTAATCCTAGCACTTTGGGAGGCCGAGGCAGGTGGATCATGAGGTCAAGAGATCGAGACCATCCTGGTCAACATGGTGAAACCCCGTCTCTATTAAAAATACAAAAAATTAGCTGGACATGGTGGCGCGTGCCTGTAATCCCAGCTACTCAGGAGGCTGAGGCAGGAGAATTGCCTGAACCCAGGAGGCGGAGGTTGTGGTGAGCCGAGATCACGCCATTGCACTCCAGCCTGGGTAACAAGAGCAAAGCTCCGTCTCAAAAAAAAAAACCCCATCTATACTAAAAATACAAAAATTAGCTGGGTGTGGTGGTGGGCGCCTATTATCCCGGCTACTTGGGAGGCTGAGGCAGGAGAATTGTTTGAACAGGGAAGGTAGAGGTTGCAGTGAGCTGAGATAATGCCACTGCACTCCAGCCTGTGCAACAGAGTTAAGACTCAGTCTCAAAAAGAAAAGGGGTGGGGGATGCTGGGCAGGGTGGCTCATTCCTACAATCCCAGCACTTTGGGAGGCCAAGGTGTGCAGATCACAAGGTTAGGAGTTCAAGACCAGCCTGGCCTACATAGTGAAACCCTGTCTCTACTAAAAATACAAAAATTAGCTGGGTGTGGTGGTACACACCTGTAGTCCCAGCTACTTAGGAGGCTGAGGCAGGAGAATCACTTGAACCTGGGAGGCAGAGTTTGCAGTGAGCCAAGACAGACCACACCATTGCACTCCAGCCTGAGTGACAAAGTGAAACTTCGTCACACACACACACACACAAAAGGAATTGCCTAGGTTAGGTGCAATGGCTTACGCCTATAATTACAGAACTTTGGGAGGTCAAGGCGGGAGGATCACTTGAGGTCAGGAATTTGAGACTAGCCTGGGCAACACAGCAAGTCCCTGTCTCTACAAAAAATTTTTTTAAATTAGCCTGTGTAATGTAGTGTGATCCTGTCTCTACAAAATTAGCTGGGTGTGGTTGCGTGGGCCTGTAGTTCTAGCTACTCAGGAGGCTTAGGCAGGAGGCCTGCTTGAGCCCAGGAGTTTGAGGTTACAGTAAGCTATGATCATACTACTGCACTCCAGCCTGGGCAACAGAGTGAGACATTGTCTCATAAATCAATCAACTAATTTAATTAAATGAATTTATTTATTTATTTAAAAAATTTTTTTAAATTAGTCAGGTATGATGGCACCCACCTATCGTCCTACCCATTTGGGAGGCTGAGGCAGAACACTGCTTGAGCTCAAGAGTTTGAGATTGGCCGGGCACAGTGGCTCAAGCCTGTAATCCCAGCATTTTGGGAGGCTGAGGCGGGTGGATCACGAGGTCAAGAGATCGAGACCATCCTGGTCAACATGGTGAAACCCCGTCTCTACTAAAAATACAAAAACCATTAGCTGGGCATGGTGGCGCGTGCCTGTAATCCCAGCTACTCAGGAGGCTGAGGCAGGAGAATTGCCTGAACCCAGGAGGCAGAGGCTGCGGTGAGCCGAGATGGTGCCATTGCACTCCAGCCTGGGTAACAACAGTGAAACGCCGTCTCAAAAAAAAAAAAGAGTTTGAGATTGCATTGAGCTGTGATCGTGCATCACTGCACTCCAGCCTGGGCAATACAGCTAGATCCTGTAGCTTTAAAAAAATAAAATAAAAGTGTCTCACTCTTATAATCCCAACACTTTGGGAGGCCAAGGCAGGAGAATCACTTGAGCCCAGAAATTCGAGACCAGCCTGGGCAACATAGTGGGACTCCATCTCTACCAAAAAGCAGTATTAATAATAAATTTTAAAATTCAGCCAGACATGGTGTTATATGCCTACAGCCCCAGCCACTCTGAAGGCTGAGGCAGGGGGATCACTTGAACCCAGGAGGAAGGTCAAGGCTGCAGTGAGCCATGATCATGCCACTGCACTCCAGCATGGGTGACAGAGTGAGACGCTACTTCGATACATAAATAAATAGCCTATATTCTTTCATTTATCTCTGAATCATTCTCTGAAAGTCTGAATTAATATTTCAGATCAAGGCTAGAAATTTAGTCCTTTGCTGCTTGGTTCACAGTAATCAAAACCCCCCAAAAAAGATAATTCATATACCAAGTGTCAATCTCTGTTATATATGGAAGGAGTGACAGGTGTTAGTGATAATATCCTAAGGACTAAAATGTTACTGGTTCCTACCCAAGCACCTTATTCTCAGAATTTAAGATATCTAGGAGGTCAAATTCTAGCTCTGCCACTGACTTATTATTACTTAATGTCACAAAACCTCAATATCATAATCTGTAAAACAGAAGATAAAACCTATCTCTTGGAACTGTGCCCACTAAACAAGGTGTCAAATATAATATAGTCCTATGCTCACTGGTTTTCAAAATTGACTGTGCATAAGAATTACATTGGAATTATCTTAGGTGCTTATTAAAACACAGATTCCTATGCCTCATCTAGCCATACTGAATCTAAATTTCTTGGGATGGAGTTCACAAATGTCCTTTTTGTTTTTTAGACAAGGTTTCACTCTGTTACCCAGGTTGGAGTGTGGGGGCATGATCTCAGCTCATTGCAATCTCTGCCTCCCAGGCTTGAGGAATTCTCCAGCTTCAGTGTCCTGTGTAGATGGGACTACCAGTGCATGCCACCACCCGACTAATTTTTTGTATTTTTTGTAGAGATGAGGTTTTGCCATGTTGCCCAGGCTGGTCTTGAATTCCTGAGCTCAAGTGATCTGCCTGCCTTGGCTTCCTAAAGTGCTGGGATTACAGGTGTGAGGCACCACGCCTATGCTTTTTTTTTTTTTTTTTTTTTTTTTTTTTTTTTTTTTT